ATCAAGCTGCTCCTCTATTAGCTGCTGTAATAGCTGCTCAATCTGCTGTCAAGCTGCTCTTCTATTAGCTGTAACCTGAAAAAATAGTGAGCCCATAAGATTACACAACAGCTGCCAAACTGTGTAATGCCTGTACAGAATAGCTAAATGCAAACAAACTGCTAAAATTCCAGTCTGGGGAAAAAGCAACAGAGCAAGTCTTCAAATGTGTTGTATTGGAACAGAAACTTATCATGATTGACAAAACAAGACCAATAGATTGGTCTATAGATCATTGTAAACTGTAGCTTTTACACAGAAGAGCCGAAACATCTACAGCAGAAAGTTTTACAGGTTGCAAATAAGCAAGTATTATCAGGAGAAAAAAAAAGATTCATGACTGACTTCACTGTGTGCTGTGTGAGATCATTCTGATGACTTGGCAGTTTTACAATGCTAGGTCTCTAGCTGCTAGTGAAGAATATAACACTGAGAACATGTATCCTTTTTCAGTCAGTTTTTTATCTCACACATATTTGTAAGGATAAGAGGTTATTAATCCCAAGTAAACTGAATAGACATACTGTGTTTGGAACAAGTGCCTTTACCAATCTCTATTCATAAATTATGGAGCTTTTCAACTTACTGTACATACAAAACAATGCACTAAAAACACAATATTCCACCTCAGTGATACAACTCAAATGTGTGAAGATCAATTATTAGAAAGAGGTATCCTAAGAGGTGCCATCAGCACTTTATGATCTACTCTTTATTTCAATTTGTTTACTCATGTTGCTTGATTTACTATCAGAGAAAGAGCTTAAGTTCTAATATATATGTGCAAATGTCACGTATTTATGAATAAACATACAGTTCCAAGCAACAAATGCACAAAGTTATCAGGAAAATAATGAGATCCTTTTGGAAGGAGGTGCATTTATTTTATTGAACAGACATGGCACATAAAATCATTGTGCTCATATTGTACATTGGTCAAGAACAGAGCTCATCAACAGGGTCTCTACTGTAAAAGTCAAAGGTTAGTAATGTGTATGGCCACCATTGGAAGAAATACGAGCTGTCTGTAACACACGCTTTGTACAAGGTTGCAGTTTGTGCCTTATGGTATCCTGTTCCATTCCTCTTGTAGAGCATAAATATGAATGTGCCTGTTCACTGGTCTCTGAGCCCTAGATGCCACACACCATTTCAGCTCATCCAAAAGTTCAATGGCTCATCAGCAGGACATGCATAACAAAACTGCCACATTATCACCACCAAATGGTCATGAAATCATCCTAAAAGATTGCCAGAGGTACTGTATGTCAATGTCATATTCTCTGCCTTTATTATTGCATCAAACCATAACTTTTGTGACTGCCACTCCTTTCTTACACAATATTTTGACTTTTTTTATTATGCACTATTTATGTACTGTATAATGCAAAGAGTATAGTGAATATTAAATTACAACACATACTTCTACCACAAATAAAGCAAATCATTTGCTGATAATTTTATGAATGAATAAGAACCGCCTATTTAGTTTTCCCCCAGTCCTTACACTGGCATCAATTACTTGACAGGCTTTCAGAACTAACCCACCTCTTTAATTCTTGAAGGCACTCTATAATTTCTTAATTTAAGATACTACTGACGTGTCTACAAAGACCATCTGTGCTCATTAAATCTGTGCTCATTAAACACTTACTGTATGATCAATAAATAAATGTATCTAATGTGTAATTTCAATGTATCAAATGGGACCTATGGGACCTATAAACATTCCTATAAAATTTTACAAACAATATCAATGTCTAAAAGGGGTAATTTCTCCTTTATAATGCATATCTAAACATAAGGGCAGAAAAATAAATTTATATTTATTGCTTAAAGAAACCATGATGTAGGTCCCAACCTATAAATACTTTACCTTAAAAATAATGTTTATGTGAGGACTTAAATCCATTCCTTAGGTCTGTTGAGTACTTATTTTACATTCAACCTTTTTCAAAAAAGGTAAAGAAATATTATGAACAAGTTGTACAAACTTGATTAAAACCATTTTTGGTACCTCCAGAACCTGATACTAGCTTATTACATACAAACAAAACAACCTGTGCTGGAAATCAAATACTTACATTTATTATAAGTTTTCCAAACCTTTGCCATCTTTCTTTTTGAAGTCACAATATAAAAGGTAATTTTCTGCCTCTGTTGAATGCTTTACTTTAGTGAAAAACTAAAAAAAATGTCAATACTTTGCAGCACTAACTGCAATAAGAAATGTGAATTATTAAGTTTCCTTTGTGTACATTTAAAGATTTGGCAAAAGGATAAAATGAAATTTGGTTGCCATGGTTTTCTCAACATATGTTATTCATAGTTCTGTTTTCAGATACCTAAATATGAAATACTTTTTATAGTTTGATTATTGTAAAAGACTAGGTTTTATAATCTCTGTTGTGTCAAAAGTCCTTTACCTACTACTGTAACTTTACAAAGGTTTAAAACTACACAATTTCCCAAGTAGCATTATACTAACAGTGCATTATTCAGTAATACTTTAGACTTTTTAAAGCACCTAACTTGTTAGTATGACTTTTTTCTACACTAGCAGTTTTCTTGTTTTAATTAATAAATAAAAAAACATGCTCCCTATAGCTTAATAACACAAGATGTAGGACCCACTGATTGGGTCCTATCAGAGGAGCTACTGTACTGGTTTAGAAATGTTCAGCACTTAAGACAAAATAGGAACCTTCTCAAATGACCAAGCAACAAATCTGAACATTAACCACAAAAGAGAAAAACTTTTAGTTTTCTTCCTTTAAAAATCCCCACTCTTTAAGACGTACACACAACCAAAATCAGACTTACATCTGTTAGCTGTCAAAACGGCAGGGAAAAGAAACATCTTTTCAGTAAAAATTTCTACTTAACATTCTCAAAAAACATTTTGGAAGAAAAGCCTTGATTAAGTAGGCTGTTAGTTTAGAAAGAGCTGTTTAAATTTGGGCAGTTTTCCCTGAATAAGTTATTTTAATGCTAATAATCCATTCTGAAGGATAATAATACATTTTACTAAATCACCAAATGACTCACAAGAACTCACAAGAACAGTGAAAATAATTTTAAAAATACTGTCACTTTAAAAAGTGAAGATTTGCAATTGAACTTGTCAATGCCAAAAAACTACCACAAATAACTTTTTTACAGCTAGAAAATAAGTGTCTACCCTATCATTCTTATGTAATGATCATCCCAATGAAGTGCACTTACTGTATCACATGCTATATTCATCTCCACATTTATATACTCCACAGTATATAAACTAAAAGCCTGATCTAACCATTACACTGCAATATTTTTTTAATGTTTTCCTCTGAACTTTGATCCTGCAATGACAAGTGATTTTACTCCTAGATGCATTCTTAAGATGCCAGCACTTGAAATGTAAAAGTCTACAAATCTTTTGATACTCTCAACATTTTACAACTGGTGTGCATACAGTACACTATCCAGTCCACTTTCTTCCCTTAATATTTATAAAGAGAATATGCATTCTGATTATGTCCCTCCTTTGTAAATGCATATGGATTTAATGATGATGAATCAGTATTGTTAAAATTATAGGAACAAAACTAAGACTTATTTGCATTTATGCTGTACTATTCATCCCGAAGATCTCAAAGCACAATACAGTACATATCAGAGGACCCACTGCATCCACTACGAAAGACAACTCCCACCTGAGTCACACACACTACTCATTCTGTACCAGCATCCCCCTGAATAACAGATCAGTTGATATATGTGTGAAATAACTTCACTAAATGACTTAAAAAAGTTCCTAAATATTGAATTAATTTGAAGACTAACTTAACTAAGACATTACAAAGCTCTAAAATGGGATAAAATAGTTAACTACTGTATAAAGCTAATTAATCTTTATTTTGAAAATGTATGGTTAAGGCAGAATAAACATTTTGAAGGCTTGCAATTACAGTTCACAGGTGGGTTTTTTTCCTATTTACACAGGAATACAGTATACCATATGAACTTCCCCAGACTCTTTGACCAGAACCTATTGAAAAAGTCATTTTCAGAACATCTGACATTTCCTTCTATCTTGTGGTAAAGGATTAAACATTTTACTTTGGATGCTTCACCTACAGTACTGTTCTTTGAAAACTTGTAATTTCAGAGTGTATCTTAAATATTTTGCTCCACAGTCATGATCATCATGTCATTTCATTCATCCTGAAATTTCACAACGTCTACAACCAGGTGACCAGCCTATAATCCGACTGAATGAATTCATACTGCTAACGTGCTACCTGAAATTGACTTTGGTGCTCTTGTTTTTTACAGCAGCATTAACACCTCGTAACTTGATATCGGATCTCAGAAGCTAAGCAAGTTTGAGCGTGCTCAGTAATGTAATGGGAGTGCTCTAAGGAAATCCACGTTAAGAGGTGTTGGCGGACCAGTAGGTGGTACTTTTCCCCCTGGACCAGAATTTCCAAACCAGTGCCCCAGTATGGGGACTGGGAAGTGAACACTGTGCTGTAGCAAGTGACCTCCTCTGGATGAGACATTAAACCAAGGTTCTCACTACTCAGTCATTAAAGGTCCCATGACACTGTAAGTGTACTGTAGAAACAGCACTTCAGTGTTGAATGAAGCGATTGTCCTCCTGCATGTTAAGTGCTTTCCTAAGACTACTTTTTTAGACTGTATTTAGCATTCAGCCCTTGGAGGAAGAGGTCCAATTGGCTGCTTTCATCACTTCATGTAGTACCCTATCATTTTTTGTTGTCTTTTTTTTATCGTGTTATACAGCAGAACAGAGATGGTCTGTTTTTCCCCTACAAATCACCCACGTTTAAAATGCCGCAACAGGTGAAAAAGCCATTGTCAACTTCACGAGTTATGAATATCAGCCTATTCCAACATGCGTGTAGATTGAAGTAAAGCGCAGTAACGTTTTAGTCCTACGGATTAACTGTACTTACACAAAGGCGTGGTAGATGAAAGCCCATCCCCGGGGTCTCTCCAGCACGTTATACAGATAATTTTGGAATCTCCGGTAACGGACGTTCCGCCTGCAGCTCTGGTTGCTACTGTAGGAGAGCGGCTTCCCGAGCAGACTCAGGCGGGCTCCCTGCTTTCCAGTTTGGCTTTCGGGACCCCCCACACCTGTCGCCGAAGGCGAAGAGCCGGTGCCGAGAGGCAGCAGGCCGTCTCCCACCCGAGCTGAGTTCTTCATCCTTCTGCCGGACTCCACATCTTTCATGTCGTACACTTCAGTGCGATGCCCAGGAGAAGTTTTCATCCAGAGCCCAGATCCACCCTCATCTCCGCTGTGGTTGCGGGGCATCGCATCACCAGCGCTGGCTGGAAGGGCGCTTCAAGTTCGGAGGGCATGCACATGTAGAGTTTTCGTAATCAGGTTTAAAAGACAAAAAAAAGCTTTTTACTGCGTTGAGTTTATAATCATACAAATAGCTGCAATCAACTGACTCCTTCTTCACCTTTTTGAGTTAAGGTACTTGGCGTTTAAGGATCTCGCCTTTAATCCACATCGTTTTCGCATGTCATTTTCTTGTCTGTTAAACGATACTGACGTTCAAAAACGGAGTAAAAACACTGTAACCACAGGGGATGATTCAGCTTTATATACTGTCCATGACAATAGTCAGGATAGGAAGTGTCAATAAAAATATGTATTTTTATTAGGGTCAGAAAACTTAAAAGGTGGCCATGATATGACATCCAAAACACAGGAGGTCTTTTAAGAAAATCATAATTGAAACTGATTTGTACACATGAGCAAGAAGTGCAAGCTGTTGCTTTCAATCCAGAAGTCCCAAATGGTCTTTCGAACACACTGTCTTCTCCTATTAAATTACAGCGTTATTCCAATGAATAAATTCATGTTCATGATTAGATCTTTCGTGAAAGTTTTGAAACGTTTTCCGCTTCCTTTTTAGGAGGGTTAAACGAAATGCTGATAAATAAAGGTAACCATGCATAAGCAGACACGATTTCACCAAGCAATGTGATTCCTTGTACTGTATTCTTTTTTTTTACATTTTCATGTCTTGTAAACTCGAAAAAAATAAATTTATATAAAAAATAGTCCAAGATTTATTGATTGCCATCCTGAAATAGTGCACTGAAATGTCACGTCAGTAAACAGTTTTTATGCATTTATTTCCTTGAATAAAAAAGTCGATGCGTTAATTTTTCTTTAATTGGCCATCAGGTTAGACGTCAAAACTCCCCGAAAAAACCCCGAGCCGTACACTTCCAATTCACGGAGAAACTAGATCGTAATTAAGTTTCCATTTAGAGTTCAGGGAATACTCAAGTCAAAAGGCAATAATGTGAATTTGTTATCCACATTCAGTACAAATAGTGACGATCATTTTCTACTTACATGTGTATCCGTAATCAGCAGTGCTGCTTCTCTGAGATTATCTTTCACAGAAGGGAAACAGTAGTACATCAAACTCAGTGAAACACATCCATTTTCAAAGTCTTTGCTTTTCATTCAACCTATTTTTTTCTTCTCCTTATTTCGCCTCACATAATCTCTTTCTTTCCAATAGCTACCGTCTCCCTTTCCGTGCTTCTGTATGCTTAGGCAATGTGCTGCTGTCAGAAAACCACGTGACCCAAACCGAACTAAAATACACACGCACGGTGCCGGAGAGGTCACTTACTGCCAAGTTGGCAAACTGATACAATACATCCTAGCAAAAGTGGTTAATACGCAGACTGAGAAGTACCAGCGTAAATTGAAGGACAGCCCTCATCACTTCACTGTAACTCTAGCCTTTTTGTAAAAAGGGGGGAACTTCTGCTTTATCAAGTATTGTACTACCGGGTTCTGGAACACTTATATTTTTCACGACTTCCCACAGCTGGCCAAAGTATTTTGCATATTCTGAAATATATGCAAAACAACTAAATAATTATGTAAATGATATAAACGGAAACATCCATAGGTATGAGTAGGTGTAGGATATGTATTGGTCGTTTTAGAACACCCTAGATTTTAGTTAACCCTAATTTACGAAACAACTGAAGAGCCACAGAAACTTTTCGCATTGTAAAACAATGCATGCCCACTGTACCACAGACTAGAATAAGGGGCGCAACTTTCTGCCAGCAGTGGAAGTTGTGAAAGTGATACAGTATAGCAAGTTAGTAATGTTTCCGTAAACGATTCCTTGCTCCGCCCGGTTAACTGATCATTTGATGAAATGAAAAAGTTCTGCTTTACTACTGTAAATACTGTACTGTACCTCACTCTTGTAATACAAAGTAAACATTCTCCAATAAATCAGTCATACATTACACTTTATATATTTTACAATATAACCGTTGTATTCAGAGGTCATTCATTTAATTCTAGGATTCATACCATCAAGGTCACGACAAAGTTAAACTTTTGGTTTTTCTTTAACCAATTCCAATTAAAAAGGATATTAATCTATAAGAAGAGTTCTTTGTAAATTAATGATCACTCAAACTACGGCAGTTGTTCAGCCCAAGTATGTCCTTAATAGAACATGTATATACTGGAGATAAAAATTAATTTGTGTAGCTCAAAATGGTGTTTGAATCCTAGAACTCTAACCTGTCTATAACCCTTTCCTTATTAAACAATGTATTGTATTCCAATACCAACACGATTATGGCATTAATTAGTGAAAGGAACATCATGTTTAGGGCTGATGTCTTTAAACTTATTTTGCCCTCCCCCACCCAAATATGCAGATGTGTAGTGTAAATTGCCTATTACTTCAATGAACATTGATTTAGTGCTTAAATTAAGCCGCAGTGACTTAATTATTCCATGACCATAGAAAGATTAAGAACACTGCTTTACATTTTACAGTGGACAATATAGTATTTTAATTATTAGAATTATCAACAACCTATACTGTATACTAAAGTCTGTTACTAATAAAATAGCTGTAAGCTCTTAAATTAGACATCTAAGTGTTATACATTTTTTCAAATTAAATTTTTAGATGAGTGTATATTCTAGTTAAAATATCTAGAATATCTCAACTGCATGATGCAAGAAACCACTTTCCTGTGTGCAATCAGGTATGACATCTCGTGGGTCACAGTTGTAATGGCGTCTGTGATGCAACACTTGAAATGACCATGGAGCACCATCGTAACAGTTAAAGCCTCTCTAATTATGGAGGTCCACACTTAAATTAGGGAAACACTCAGAGTCGTATAATCCAAACCCATTATTTCGCCATGCAACTCTGCAACACAATGCTCTGCCATTAAAAAATGCTTTTCTGATTGAGCAGTCCATGTCTGATGAGAAGCAAAGGCTTGTAATATACTATATTGCCTGTGTGATGATGGGACCGGGCAATTGGTAGTATAGGTGAAGTTATGAAAAACAAGCTCATGCATGCTGCTTAACGAAACAGAAATGCTAAAAGAGCAGTTTAGAAAGACGGCATGTTTGCCTAATGCTTCTGCATCTCCTAAATGAATATGGAATGAGAAAGAGGATGTACAGTATTTAAAAACAGGAAATTTATCAGCTACAGACTCGATAGGAAGTTACATCGTAAGTTGTGGTTATTTGCACCAGGTTAAGTAAAAAACAATTCTGTTTTCTTCTTTTACACAGAGGTTTTGTGAAGTTTGTATAGCCATAAATGCAGTGGTTCTTTAAGTTAAAAATAACTTTCATTTCATTGTGTCAATATCTTATATGTCATGTACAGTTATACAAGAAGCTTGGCAAAGCACAGTAATACAACTTTCCAGTGTTTACTTATCAGGACGTCCAAAGCAAAATTCAAGTAAATTTCACAAATGCTGTTGCAGTTTTCTTGCTGATTTAGGTTGCACTTGAAAATGTACTGATTAAACTAGCCTTTTCACTGCTCCTCAAAAGACATTGCATTTATGAACTGCCATCAAGTCTGTATTGATTTTGGATTTCTTCAAATAATGCACCTAAAAAACAGAAGTGATAAACCTCAATATAAATTAAGAGCTAGAAGATTTCATTTAATCTTCAAGGAACTCTAATTATATGGTTAAACTGTAACAGATTATACACTGTATACACAGTGTATACACTGACTAAACTGTATACAGATTTTTTTGATGCTACTAGAAAGATAGCCTAGCTTCTGTATGTAGTACTGTACAGTATGTTCCTTTTCCTTACATGTTATAGCATGCAGTATATACTGTATATCTTGTAAAGCATTCTAATATTCACTAATGAATATAAAAAGCTTTCATAAAATCAATCTTGGGGACTTTCAGAGGAATGCGAAAACATAGTAATGCTCTTCTACTGTGAAAAAACTTTGTTAGAACAACTCGGACAAAATGTATAAAGTACACTCTTGACTTCATCTGTAGAATTAAGTAATTGTTATAAAATATGTATGATAAATACTCGCTCTTTAGTTGCCCATCAGATTAAAACAAACAAATGAAGTATAGGTTGAGGGCTACAGTCCTGTGATTCCAAGTTCAGGTAGTGCAACTTTCGGGCTTGGATTCAGGTTCAGTTCACATTTGGGTAGTGTCAATCAATTAAGGTGTAAAGAAACTCCTAGGGATTGTGCATAATTGCTGGGGTTGGTTGCATTGAAATTAGCTGAGCGAGATAATTTCTAAAAATAGGACAGAACATGGTCGTTGCTAAAATGTATATTATACTTCAGACAGCAAGCAACTTTCACAACACCAAGTGATTCCTGTTGTATCACTTGGTAGCATTAAGTATAGAATATTGTATTTTATTTATGTGATACTTTGATTCCTGCAAGGACAGTGTCTGGCAAAATGAAAAGGATCAAAGATGTTGAGTAGTGGTTTCCTGGTGTGTATAGTGCTGCTGCTTTACTTGCTACTTGTTTGCAAACACTCGTGGATTTCAAAGAAAAGCTTTTCTATAAGATGATTCCAATGTACAGTATATGTTGCTGGGTTAGATTGTAAAAGTTGAGAAAATTACATTTACATGTTCATTGTATTTGTATAGCACTTACTGTGTTAAGCCACCTTATTTGTATTTCAACAGTTAATGGAAATTTTGATCTGTAGTTTTTTGTGCATAGTTTCACAAACTAAATTAGCTACAGTTGTCAAAAGGCCTATTTATAACTGATTGTTGTGTCTGAAATATAAAAGACATCCGATATACTCTAGACAAGATGTGGGATTCTGATACTGATGGAAACAATACAGTAATTAAACATTTTCTCCTCCTCACCTAAAGATCAGGAAAAAATAAGTGATCAGAATAAGTTAGAATTGCCACATTTATTTTACAGCTTTTCCTTGATATAAATACAAGATACATGAAAACCATAAAATAATACTTTCTTTGAATGAATTGAATGGATTACAGAATTGTCATGAACTACTCTTTTCATTCCTTTGTGTCAGCAGTCTGTCCAAAACGTTCAGTTCTGCTTCAAAGTAGCCTGTAATTAGAAACAGCTGACTATCCCCAAACAGGGTTTTCACAATAGGCACAATTTCAAAAGAATCGATCCAAGTCTGTTTAGGGTTTGCAGGATTGATAGCATAATATAAAGTAAAACCTTTTCAAACAGTAGGACTGATAAAACCTTTTACCTTTAGTACTGAAGCACTAATAAAATAGCGCCTCCCTGTGGCTACTTAAACGAAGGCATTTAGCAATGCGACGTTTTGAATGCCGTTATGTTCAGAATATTTTAAGCAGCCAAATTGGATTTTTTTTATAAGGAGGCAATGACAAATTTATTTTATATATGTACATACATTCATTGTACGCTAGGCGTTTGTTCATGTTTTGTAACAATTACAATTTACAGTAGCTGGTTCCACTCTATGCTTCTTTAAAAAAAGAGCCTCCGTTTCAGTTACTCTTAATACAGTACAGTACATACACAAACATCAGCTACCATATTTTTGTCTTCTCCAGTTTCTGTCAAAAATTCTTAAAATGGCTACTACAAAAATTTAAATGTTTATTAATAATACTCAATATTTTGTTATATATTGTGGTTATGTTTATACAGTATGTACTCTCCAGTTCTGTATTCGTCTCCAATTTGAAAAACCTCAAATGGAGAGGTTTTTTTTCTTGCATTCATAATCACGGTTCTTGTAAATAATACCAAATAACATCCCAATTTTGCGCACAACAGACACATAAATCATTTTCTTTGAAAAAACAAACCGTAGTTATGGGGTTTTGCAGAACTTGATCATGTAATTTCGCAAAATATGCTTGAATCGTGTTTTCAATAAGAATGATATTTAATTAACATTTGTTTTTCTGTTAGAACAATATGCTTATCTAAAAAAACAAAAACAGTATTGCATTACTTGTATGGCAGTTCACAGCAAGAAAAATAGATTAAACTCGGTTAATTAAATCACACAAATTTATATCAGAAGGGCATACAGTACTTTGAAAATGCTGCCGCGGCATTAGTTTAATAGTTTTCTTGATGGTTTCACCGTGCTGATTTCATACAGTAAGTAGTTTATGCAGCAGTTAACAGTGATAATAAAAGCCCCCATAGGTTAATTAATTTCATAGCGTTCACTCCTGATATTTTAAGGGAAGAAGCAAAAGATCATTTGGGCAAACATCAAACATGTTACACCTGGCTCCAAAATCTTAAAATCATAAAACACGAAGAACACGGTATAATGGGGTTTAAAAATACGCATACATTTCTCCTTCCCTTTTAATGGGCTACGTCTCAACACTTACTGTAAGTGCTCGTACCTGGAATTAAGTACATTTCTGCATTTATTTAAATAAATTAAACTT